AATGTGATGTTGTTGCTACGGTCATTGCCCTATCATACAATGTTTTCTGTTTCTGCGGGTGCTGACAAGGCTTCCAGCACCAGTGTAAGGGCAACGAGTAATAACAGAGATGAACAGAGTCATAATGACCGTCTTCTGAGCAAACAATTGATATGTTAATGACGTCGGTGGGAACGTAGCTCGTATCTACCAAGAGAGGGACTGGAGCATGGAAACAGGACAGGGCAAAGAACAGAAGGGATTAAAAATATTTGAAGAAGACTCTTGTGGAATTTTTCCAAGGACCTAGAATCAGATTTGAGGAGAAGGAAGAATCCACTGTGATTTTCAGATTGGGAGCAAGTCTGGTTTATCAGCTGAGCTACTTGAGGAATTGACTCAATTTAAAATTACTCTGGCATAGAGACAATATTGAGACCAAGAATTCTGTGCAGAGTTTTTGTTTTGTTTTGTTTTTATCTGTATTTCATCTTCTGTGTACTTCAGGTACTGAGAAAAGAGCTAAATTGTACCCGAATCCCACCCCAGTCATAAGGCATATTACATTTTCACACTGTCCAACCACATGCTCTAAAAGCTCACAGAGGAGCACCAGATCTTTGGGTAACCCATGATCCTGAAGAATTGTGTACTTTAAAAGGAATGTCTGGAAAACAAAGCAGTTGTGACTGAGGCTCCACCTCTACACAGAACCAGTGCCCTAGACATGTTCTGACACAGGTCATGGAGAAAAGTGAGCTGTAGTCTACTGATGTAGACAATGCAATGAGTTTGGGCCCAAGGAATAGTTATGTGAATGCCTGAAGAGGTGATCAGCTTGAGCCAAGTCACAGTCAGTAGCTTTTCACACCATCAATCTACTTTTTATTTGGTCCTACAAATAATCTGTGATTGAACCAGCCCTGTTTTCAGAAAAAGAGCTGGTGTTAGCCAAAGACTTCAAATAATGGAAAATCTAGAAGTCTCATGAGAATTTACTAACACCTGCACTATTAAAGACTGATTTCTGCTCTTAATTTTTTTGCACTTCAATTTCCACTTTTCAGAGTAAAGAACCTCTTTTTCTAGATACTCTCTTGTGCAGACACTTTTTAACCCCAATCAAGTTGTCTCTTAGCTGTCTCTTTGATCAGCTAAATAGATAGAGTTCCTTAAATCTCTCTCTGTGGGGTGTAATTTTCTCACCAAGAACCTTTTTCATGCAGTCTAGGATCTGAGCTAAACAAAGCTGAGGGGAGAACTTTGGCCAGACCACATCTTGAGAAAAGGCTTAGGAGATGGACTTTGTTATCTCATTACATTTGGTGTTAATAAAAACTTGATTATACAGCTATAAATTCTACACTTTTTATTGTTTTGCAATGACAAAAAATTGAGTCATCCATTGCATGTCTCTGTGAATATCTTTGCTTTGAAATGATTATAAAAAGCATGATTACATGTATATTACATCAATATAAATCAACAGTGATGCCCTGTCCTGGTTACAATATATTGACGCTTTATTCACAACATCATGAGTTTCTTTTTAGACATTTTCAAAAGTATAAATCTCCCTTTCAGGGATCTCAGTAGCAAAATTAGCATTTGCTTTTTGTCCCTGTGCTCACAATTTTTTCATGGTTGTCAGTCCAAGTATTTGGCCTTCAGAGCTGTCTGACGGGAAGCATAAATCAGGTATATAAAATCCAGTATATAAAAACACAAATTCACTTTTGTGCAAGTAAAGTTTCCTTTTTGCAGGTGTAAAAGTGGAAGTGGATCTGGGTTTAAAAGGGTGGACACTACTTTTTCATTTCAGAAAACTTTGCAGCATTGTGTCACTGCAGTAAGAAAATTGTTAATGGTCAGCTAAAGGCCAGTAAATCGTAACATGCTACTGAGTCTCCCATGGAAGAAATCATGATCTCATAATGGAAAAGTTCACTGGGGTGTATTATTACTGGACATGTCCTCTAAGAATAAGGGCAGAAGCTCGTAATGGATACGGTGCCAACACAATGGCACATGAGAGTACTCTGCAATCCACATGTCTACACCGTTTCTCCTCCCACAGAAAGGTCAATGACAGAGAGGCAAGAGGCAAGATGCTGATTTATGTACCCACCACCCTACTAAGAAATGCTTTCAACTAGGCTGGGCCCGGGCTGTAAACAGCCCTGCTTATTTCAGCTAAACATTATTAAGGTCATAAAATGTCTCAAGATTCATGCAAACTTCACGCCAACTTGGCTGCAGCCCAGATGCGCCTGCTGTAAGAGCCTCCTGAGAACAGTTGGAGGAATGATGACGGCAGGTGGCATGCTGAGCTGGAGCCTGAAAGGGGGTTCTTTGGGAGGTTTTGGGCTTGGTTTCAGTGTTCCAGCTTTCCATGGGACAAAAGCACTGCAAAAAGCAAACCTGCAAAAAACAGTCTCCCAGCTTTTTGAGTTCCTCTGTGCCTGCCTTTGAGTGGTATCTCTGAGTCAATGGCTGGGGCATCCAGGCAGTGTTTGAGACATCTGGAAGTGTAGGTGTGCTGCTTTGGGAAGCAATGGAGACTGTGGCATTTCTTCAGAGGCTGAGGCAGGGGGTGTTTTGCAGTGCTGTTCACTTCCACGTCCAAAGTTGGGCCAGTAGTCCTCCAAAATGATTTATTGTGCCAATGTTCTTTTGAAAGCAGTGGCCTTTCCCTCTCAGGAAGGTACCAACCTTGTTCTCTCCTTTCATGAGAGTGCAAAATCCCCATTTAAGCAATAGTGGGGCTCAGTGTTCCTCCTCAGCTCCCCCTGGAATAACCTCTGGTATGCTGGTAAGAGGGGATACAAGCCCCCTTCCCCAGTCCTGGCTGTCCCTAGAGCCCCTGAAGCCAGCCCCATGGCAGATGCTACTTCCATCTCTGGGAAGGTGACACAGTGGCTTGGTGAGGATGATGGCCAAGTCCAGGCCTTGGGGAACAAGGAGTGGGTCCCCAGCCTGCCACCCCCATCCTGGTAACTCTAGATTATACGAGCTCTTCTGCTGGTATTCTGTCCCCTGGGAATTCACCAGTGTCCTAAAACTCAGGCAAATGAAATCCTCTGCATTACCCAAATGATGCAAAAGATTTGAAATACAGTAACGTTTCAGGCCCCAGTGTTTTGATGGGCTTTGCTGTAATCTCTTAAGAGAAAAACTCCTTAAATTGCATGGCAACAACCAAGCAGCATCCCGTATAACAAAAAAACTTACTGCAGCAACATGTTCTTTGGCTGACTCTACTCCCTTAGCAGGTTTGTCTTTCCTTCAGAAAGCTATTTTAAGAAGATGAGTTTGGTGTGCACACAAATCATGTCTTTGTTTAGTAGATCTGTTTTCTAATCAGGTCAGGTAAGTGCCCAGGGACTAGTTATGGGGGTCATATAAATACCTCCATAGATAGAGGCATCAAGAGATAAAATGCAAAGATATTTATTATTTTATGAGGCTCGTTTCTTCCGGATCTAAAGAGAAATGCTTCATTGAATGTCAGTAAACTGTCTTTGATGTCACAAAAATTCTATTATTTTTGATAGGTTTGATCTTTCACAAAACAATAATATATTGAAGAATTGTCTATCACGCTGGTGACCTTTAATGACGTTACCAAGAAACAAGTGGCCATACATGGCTGTGATACAGCAAGGGCTGTACGTGGCTTATGGAGTCCCGTAACACTCCAAAAGTATTATGTGTCCAGCACTGAGTCAAAGCACTGTGTAAATGCCACGCATGTTTCATACCCAAGCGCTTTCTGCTGTTTAGCTTTTTGTTGGTTGATTGGTCTTCTTGTGGGTACCAGGCATTCTTTCTGAGCTTAGTGGCTGTGGAAGAGATCACTGCCTATTTCAGAAGGTGTACGTAACTCAGCACTCAAGCCCTTTGGGTTGCTGAGACAGACAATGCTAATGCACGGAGCAGTCGAGAATTGCATTTGCCAGGGCTGGCCCTGGGAGCGGGCAGCCACCCAAGGTTTCACAGACTCGGTGATGTCCTCAGAGTTGTAGGTGAGGGGGTAGCCCCAGCTGCTTATTTTAGGTGGCACACAGATGGTTGTTTTCAGAAAGGCAGATAGGCAGCTGCAGATCAACAATCTGTCCCACTGCACATCAGTTTATGAATGATACAATCTAAGGATCGTGCTGGTAAAATTATGAATGGTATAAACCAAAGGATAGCACTGAAAGCACTCATGAGGGGACTTGCTTGTAGGGGAGCTGGCTGAGGGACATCTTTGGTTCAGATGGGCAGTAATGTTCCCTCTGACAGCCCCTTCTGCAGAGAGTGACAAAGAGGTGGCAAAACATGCTAGCTCCTTACCACTGCTTGCTAATGAAAACGTGCAGAGAACGTTTGTTCTTTCTTCTTGGACTTTTAATCCAAGGTTTGTGAAAAGGTCTTAAAGGGGATAGTTAATATGGCATTTTAGTGTGCGAGTGCTATACTCTGATTATAGCGTCTTGCTCTGGACCTTTTTGCCAGTTCATTAGCTACCATTTAGTATTTGGGATTTCTGCAGGAATAGAAATGGTTAATATGTTTTTGAGGTGCTTGACTCTTGGTGGAGGGCATATCAGAAGGCCAGCAACTGGGGATAAGACATGAAGTGTTTGAAGTTTATTTCAGTCCTGGTCTTCACCCTCCTACCCATCCTTGGATTAAAGAAATTGCTGATTTATTTCATTGTGTTTGTTTCAGTTGCTGATTGCTGTTAATGACTGCAAAGCCCCACCCTTTCTATTAACGGGTCAGTGCCCAAAACATACCCACTGTTCGTCAGATCTACATAGTTTAAACAGGTGCTCTTTCTCACACGAGAAATATGAGCTGACTTTTTAAAGTCAAGCTGTCCTGCTCACAGCTTATGAGCAGGTCTTGCTTTTGCGAATACTCTCAATGGCTGTGAATTCAAGTTATGCAAATCCCAACAATGAGTATTTGGGAGGTGGTGGTCCCTGGCTGACTCCAAAACAGCTGTTTCTGACGAATGGCCCAGTAAATTCTCAGCTGATAAAGCTACCTGAATTTCAAGCAGCTAGCAGGCAGGGAAAAAAAAAAAATGATTGTGCTGCCATTGCACAATGTAGTAGGCGAAAAGATTTTTGATTGCAATTCTTTACCCTAAGGCTTGTATTTATAGTGGGGGAGGAGAATACTGCACCCAGTTACACTGCCCAGTGTGGTACGCACCTTCTGGGACTATGGCAGGTGAGCGCCCGTCCCACATGCCCTCCTGCTGAAGGTTGTGGGTGAAACATGTTCAGTGAGCTCCAGTAGCAAGGTGAGTGGCTGATCTTCATGTTCGCTCACCCTCGAGAGGAGGGAGGTGTGGCGCTCGAGGGGTTGGAGGAGGATTCATAAGGTTCACCTTCCTCGGAGGAAGACTGCTGGCCTCCCTTGGAAACAGCTGAGGTCCCTGGCCCGCAGGGACACCACATAGGCCAATGGGAAGAGTCCCAGGGGGGATGACTTTTGGAGCTAAGGACACAGGGCACGGGAATGAGACATGTGTCATCAGGTGACATACACCTCATCCCCAGCCAAGGTCAAAATCTGTCACTGCTCTCTAAAACAAAACACCTTTCCTCTCTTTACTCTGGTGGCGGAGAGGCCACAGCAGGTGACCTCCAAATGTTACCTCATGAACTTCTTCATGGTGGTTTTGCTATCTAGATGCCACCCGAGTAGTGTATGGAAGGGACTGTGTGCACACCGAGAAGTGGGATATGTGGTGAGGAGAAGTTGGAGAAGAGACCAGTGAGGGACTTGCACTGACCAGCGTGCACAGTAGGACTGCTCCCTGTGGTCCTGGCAAAAATTGGCATGAGCAGACCAGTGCTGCTGAGGACCAAAATGGCACCAAGTACACACACATGCACGACACATGGCTGGTGACCCCGGTACAGCCTGTTTCTACCTAGCCTTGTGCCAGCTGGAAGGCCTGATCCAGCAGTGCCCACGCAGGGGACCTGAGTGAGAGGTCTCAGATGAGAAGGAGTTAAGGCGGGGGTCTTTAGCTCAACTAGAAGACCCTTTGCTAATATTCACCAGGTTGTCTACACACGGGGCAGATGTGCAGGGGAAGCCAGGCTTCTGGGCAAAGAGGGGAAGCAGCACGACACAGTGTCACAGCAGCGGCTGGGTGCGCAAGGCCTGCTTTGGGGATTACAGAGGGAGCGGGGCTTTTTCCAGAATTCATATGCAGTGTGCTCTGCTTAATCCACTGTTTTGCTCTGTTCCCTCTTAGGCACCACATCCCACCAGATATGACGGCTTTTCAAAGCCCTTTTTGGGGTGAGTTCTTCGTTTGCCTTTTTTGTGCTTTTTTTTCCAAAATACTGCTGAGGCAATATTACATCGCCCAGCCCTGCGTACGTGCTGCCACATTCTGGAAGATGGAAAACAAAAGCTAAAAGAGGATGGTTAACCTTTTCTAATTGTCGCAGTACAGGACTAGTTGCCAGGAGGAACTTGAGTGCTAATCCTGCTTTACTCACCATGTGACCTTTGGGTAAGTTACCTAATTACCTTGTCCTTCAGTCAACGGAGCCTGTAAAGAGCAGGTGTTTCAGTGAAACCCACGACTGCTGAGACAACGTGTGTCCTTAGGAAACAACCAGAGAATAAAACTCAATGCAATTTTTTAAAGGTGGATTTAATGCACAGAGTTAAAATGTCCAGCAGTAGGTTTAATCCTGCCCTCTAATCTTTTGATGGGGCACAGGACTGAGCCCAGGCTATTTAATTGCACGAAAGATCATTCTGGAGGGCATTTGGTGTTTGTGGAGGAGTGATACAGAGTGATCTGGTCAAATTATAATGGAGTATGTTCTGTTCTGCTGGAATTAATTTCCTCCAGCTGGACTGAGTGGACCCTGTGCTTCCCCGGCCATCCTGTGCTGTGGCTGCCAGGAATGCCCCTCAGGTCCCCTGGTGGCTGCCCCCTCGGAGGAGGTGGGATCACTTCTCTGTACAGTTACATTTGGAAGGAGCTTTTAGGCTGAAATACTAACTCTTGGTGCAAAGAGGTATAGTTACCTCTTGATTCTAAGCTTTTTTCCCCTTCAGCTTCTTCCCCTTCCTGGTATGTCATATTTATAGACTCGCTTTAGCAATAGTATAATCTCTTTTCTTCCTGAAATTATGTGGTATTAGGTACATACACACTTCTCCTTTTTGCCCAATTCTTCATGCTGATCTGAAATGAAAAGATAGGAACAACCATCCCCAGAGAGCATCCTCTCTCTAGTGAAAGCTCTTTCACCCTGTGTTGGAAAAAGCACTTTACAGAACTATTCACTCCCTCTTTAGCATTTGATGTCAAAGAAAATGCCACTGTATCTCTGCTTTGGATTACAAACACATCGTTTATTATTATCTGGCACTCAGAAGGCAAGCCTGCCTCTTGGGGTAGGTACTGCTTATTTATCTGGTTTGATCTCTCTTTCATTTAAAGAGGGAGCTTTTCAGGGAGATGCATTGCAAAGAGTCTGTCTACAGTATTCTCCTCTTTCCAGCAAGTCTCATCGTCACAGTCCTTTTGTTACAATGGTTCAGTGTAGTGTGTATATAGACCTTCCCTTTTTATAATATACTGTGGGTTGGGGAGATGAAATGCAGCCTTGGTTTGTATGAACACATTTTGCAATCAGATTTCCAGAATCAGGTTTTGATCCCTTCTTATTCAAAAGTGCCCATAACCATGAATGGTCTAATTGAAACTGGAGGCACTTGCTGTGGACTAAGGAACAATTCAATGGGATTAAGGCAATGTAGAATCTGGGCTGTTGTGATTAAATTTTGCAAATATTAACTGAAAAATCTTGGCACAAATCCTAGCCAATATGTACTGGAGCAGTTCCCCAGAAGAGAGGGGAGCTGAGCCTTGCCTGAGGTGTAGCAGCATAGCTGTTTTAACACGTCTTTCCTTTGTCTTCTCTTGACAGGAACTAAGGATGTTGGCTCATGAAGTGTGGGCTTTTTGAGGAGTGTTAGGGTTAGAGTTTAGAAAGAGCAATTTCCAGGGAAAAAGTCTGCAACATGCCAATGAAACCAAACAGCAGAAATCCTGCTGCCCTGAAAACTGACTGTGGGAGTAAGAACCTTTCTCACAACCCAGTGAGCTCCTCAAGACATGTCTACACCATGCCATGAAGCACACTGCAAAGATCCCAGCTCTGGCCACAGAGCTAGTAGTGGGACCAAGAGCCCACAAGCTGTGTCAGTGTGGTCCAGTGACCAAGCCTATCCTCCCTGTTCAGAGGCCAGTATGCCGTGATTTTGAGAGTAAGCTCTCTTCCCTCCAGGCTTTTCACTGTGTTGAATATACAGACCAGTCTTCCTGGCCCTTGCTTTGGGCTTTTTGCAGATGTAGTATACTTACACTGGCATATTCTCTCAACTGAAGAATAAGCCTTAAGATGTGAAAGGGAAGAAGTTCCTGTCTGTGACAAAAGGACAATGACATTTGTCCCTGAATACTTTGCTAACAGACTATTGAGAAGATGCTTTGTAGGATGCTTTGGTTTTTGTTTGTTTATTTGTTTTATTTATATATATTTTTGGTTGGTTACAGCTGTCTGTTAGGTTCCAGGATGAATCTGAGGTGCTGATACGCATCTGTGAATGTGCAACTTCTCAGAGAGACTGCCAGTCTGCCCCAGAGCCAAGTTTTACAGAGGTGCCACAGCTGGAGTGAGTAAGTCATTCACGGTGAGGATGCTCCAGCTTTGAAATTACTCCTCTCATCCTTTGGCCTGAAATAACCTACTGAATGCGTCCACTTATGAGCATCAGACTTCAAGAAGGATGTTGACTGACTGGAGAGAGTCCAGCAGGCAAGAACAAGAGTGATCAGAAAGCTAGAAAACATGAGCTATGAGGAAAGACTGAAAGAGTTGGGTTTGTTTAGTCTAGGGAATTGAAGAAGGGTAGATGTGATAACACCCTTCAAGTATGTGAAAGGCTACTGCAAATAGGAAGGATAGGTTGCTTTTCATGTCTGCTGGGGACAGGAAAGGAAGTAATGGGCTTAAAGTGCAACAATATTCAGGTGAGATGTTAAGAGACGTTTTCCAGTTGTGTGACTCGTGAACTGGTGGGATGGTTAGCTGTGTGAAAACACTGCCGTGGGAAGGTTTTAGCAATGGCTGAGATAACTATCTCAATCCCAGCACCTTCAGCACAACTGATCCTATCTGGAGGTTGGTGAAAGGGCGAGATGACCTTCACAAGTTTCTTCCAGCCCAGGTTTTTTTGTATGATTTTTGTTATCAAAGCAGAAAGTCACAAAGCTGGTTCTTAATTCTCATGTGTGTGTGTTTGTGTGTTTTGCTACTGGGCAACTCTTGGGTTTTATGTATTGTTTTCTTATAGGACTTAGAACTAAGTTGTCCATCCTGAGATCAACCGGAAGAAAATCCCAAAGAAACAACGTGGAATCCCATTTAATGGAGTTACAAATCCAAACAAACAAAAGTGAAGGGCAGATTTCTAGGCTGATGTAAAAATAAGGCTTCGTGCTGGACCTGCTGCCTTCATCAGAATCCAAAACAATCCTTATGGTGGTCTCTATGATGGTCTTTGAACTGTGTACAATCTGATGCCAGCAGACAGAAGCAGACGGATACCTGAGCACTCAGGAGCAGCCAAAAGTCACTGAGCTTCTTTATATAATTCAATAAAAGTGAGAGAAACAAAACAAAAGCAAAACCTGACACACACAACAGTCCCTCCTTCTCCAGTTTCATGGTGAAGCAAGTTCCAACACTGTCAAGCCAAAGATTAAATAAAAAGCCAAGGGCATGCTGCCATGCATATATTAGACCTGCGTAAAACACTGACATGCACACCTCACAGATACAAGGACTGTGAGGTGAGCAGGGGTTTAAGACCCAACAAAGAAGCTGCCTTCTCATCAGGTTCACTAGGCCTGTATTTTTATCCATTACTTTTCTTTAATCCTGTCCATTTTTAATGGTGGAGCACTAAGCAGCTGACTTTTGCCCGGAGGAGTGCTTTGACATGGGTCAATGCAGAAGGAGAGGATTTGGGATGGACATGGTGGCCAGAGGTGGGCATAGGGCTGCGGTCCCCCAGCTGTGGCCACCATGAATCTGTACCCCAGGGAGGCTGGAGCTTGGCTAACCTGGGGCAAGCATCAGGCTGGTTAAGAATCAAAAGACATTTTAGACAGCCCCACAGAGAGCAGCTCTCCCTTGTTTCCAAGCTCAGCTCCTTTCTGTTGCTCTACTGTGTCCTTTTGTACTCTTTTGTGACTCTTCTGGAATTTAGCTTTGAGAAGCACACACCAGCCAAGGGCCAACAATGTCCTTTGACCTTCCACTTTGTCTGTGACAGATTCATTTTTAACTGGGAATAATAATAAATGCTGATGAGGTGCGAGTTTTGACATTCGTCTGGGAGTGCAGAGGCATGCAATTTCTAATTTTACCAAAATCCAGAAACGGGTGGATATTCTTTCTTTCATCTGCAAAGTTTTGAAGGGCAGTAATGCATTTGATTTTTTGTAGCTTTCAAAGAGGTTTATTCTTCATTGATTTGCTAGTTGCATAGATCTTAAAATCCATCTTTTTATTTTTGAAAAAAATAGGAATGAGAAATTATTTCAAATTAAACATTTTCTTTCAAGCTAAGCTTTTTTTTTTTTATTATATTACTACTTTTGAAAAAAACTCACAAGTGTGGTTATGCTGACCAAGGGAAACTAACAATTAAATGAATAAAATGCCAGAATATGTCCTGAAATGAAGACTATGGAAAAATGGAAATACTTTCAAAAATACTTTCAGAGGAACAGCTATGTCTTTCTCTAGTCATTTGAAAAACATCATCTAGCTTAATGTATAATGATGCACATGCTCTGGTTCTGTCACTGCACCTAAAGGTACACTTCTATTGTGGAGGGGAGGTCTTTGGGTTCTGTATCAGGCCTCTTGGAAGTTAGGAAATCAGGAAAAATGTGCACCATTTTCAAACAATGCACACCAGTTCTTGTATTTTTCATTTTGCATGTCTGCAAACGTACAGGTCTGATAGAACAATGTCCCCAGGGTGGCATCTCCTGGGGAATTTTTTTACTCCTCAGGCAGCTGTAGAGTTTTCTCTGCTACCAGGAAATGTGCTTGGTTCTATTAATCACTATCCCTGTGCTTGGGGTACTTGCGGGTCTTCTGAACTGATCTGCTGACATGTGTGGAGGCAGGATAAGGTTTTCCTAGTCTAGTACTGGCACCAAAGCAGTGCTCGGAGAACAATGCCGCTAGATGCTTCAGAAATACTCAGCGGGGCAGAGAGGTGCATACCCTGGGCAGCAGGATCACGACCTTCATGTGTTGTCCAATGAAATACCTGACGTCAAACAGTTCAGCTGACCACATGCTATGTTTAGTTTTCTTTTGAGATTGTGTTTCTGGGAGTTTTTTTACTTTTTTTCTTGGCCGAAACATTCAGTTATTTTGATATTTGGGAGTATTCCTTCCAGCAAGACACCGCCACCTAGCTCTGTTGTGTTCTCTACCAAATGCAGGCTGATGTAAGCACAGCTGAGCCTCTGGCTAACCCATTGAGTGTCCACCTTGTCTCAGGGAGCACTGATCACCTGGATCCCAGGTGGCCTGGGCCCATGCATGTGGAGCAGGGCCAGGGTCAGGCACTGCTAGTGTCTGGTGTGTGCTGTGTTCAGGCATTGCATAAACACCTGGCTGTTCCTCCTGTCCTCTTCCCTTCTCTATGTGGAGATGGGAAAGGTTACCAAGTTTAGCTGCGCCTTCTGTTCTGCACATGCAGAAGATATAGTTGCTTTAAAATGCAGCTGAATGAAAGGTGTTTTTTGAATACAGGGTATTAAGCCTTTTTACAAACCTGCAACTGGAGTGTTTACTTTTGGTTCTGAACACCCAGCCCAAGTTACTGAAGCAAGTAATCTCCTGATGCCTGTTGCCGCATGCACCAGGCTGCTACCCATGTAGCTGCATGATGAATCCAGCTAGGGGTTGTAGCCTCATTGTCCTGCCTTGGATACCAGTCAGAGGGACCACTTCTTTCATGCAATGGTGTTTTCGTAATATTTTTGATCTGGAGAAAACCCCATGGGGTAAACCTGAGCTCAGTCTTTCTCTATTTGCCACTTCTGCCAGCTCTTGCTCTGGCAAAAATATTTTAAGGTCCATGAGGAATTCTGCCTGAATGAATGTCACTAAATCTGCAGACCTCTGCTGGAAGCACTGCCTCCCTTGTACAGTACTTGGGGGGGTTGCAGGCTTATTGCACTACAAGCAAGCTATGGGGTGAGTACACACTAGGGCTGTCACAAGAAGCAGCATTCTGGCTGCTCTCATATCCCACCCGGACCAGTCAAATTGGAATACCCCAGTACAGAGCCCCTGACTGGCTAAATGACAGGTCTGAGGTCTTCCAGGTCACTAAACTGTTATGTGCCTCTGGCAGAGGACAAGAGAAAGTGAAGCCAGCTCAGGCTGCAATATCTAGAACACCTTAAATGGAAGGAAACATGATTAAACTTATCAAATGTGTCATGTCTATGTGATTCCATGCTGCAGAGGTAGGCAGAAAAACCCACCCCCACCAGCCTGAGCTACAGAGAGCAGCATCTGGCAAAAGACTCCTTAACGTAGGTATCAGGATGCTGGCAGCTGTGATATTTCCAAGAGAAATAGTGTCATTCTTGCTTCACTGAAACATGACTAAGCAAGAACGGTCAGTGTTTGGCCTGCGCCCAAGTGTCAGGGTGCCTTATAACTGCCATGCATATGAAGACAACATTTTCAAGAAACTTCTGAAATGGAGGAAGAATGAGAAAACCAGCAGGATATGGCCAGTGGACATGTATTTCATTTGCCTATATTTCTACAGGCAAGACTTATGTCATTAAAGTAGCTGCAGCTCCTTTTGGAGCAGTCATGGAAGGACCAGACAGTAACAGAACGGGTCTCTTTTCTCCCCTGATAACAAATGACCTGCCATTTCCAACACTGGTCACCTTTTTAGCTGACAGAGGGGCAGGGACATCTCCCTAAGACTGATCTAGGGTTTTCCTCTACCAAAGACTGCTTCAAAGGATACTAAGGCTGTGTTCATCACCAGGTCTTACGTCCCTTTTCTAAATATCTCAGAGAAGGCAGCGTCTTTGGGAGCAAGAGAGGCAGGAGACTGCCAGATTCCCTCAGGCCATGCCTTTGCCTCAGCAAGAGAGGAGACTGCAGCCTGGAGAGGTTCAGCTCTCCCTGGTGAGTTAGCATGTACTAGGGTGCGCATGTGCTGTGAGCCTAGGTGAAGTCCCTGAGTATAAATAGGCAGCCCAAGACATCTATGAGGACTCCAAGCGGCTAGATGACAACTATCTCAGGTATTCTGCCCATGCTTGCTCTTGCATTTCCCAGCTGCAGCCTACATAGCTGGAGAGCTAACGCAGACGGAGAATCCGGCTCCCTTGCTCCCAAGTGTCCAAGGAATGACCCAGCCATCTGCAGGAATCATTACCGTCCTCTGCAAGAGGGGACAAGGTCAAACCAATTGAATGTTGTCTAAAGAGGATCTTGGGGAGGGAATGTTTTCATTACAACAGTTCATCTTTCTTTTCACAGTTCATCAAAAGCAGGCCTTCTGCATACACACGCAAGACAAATAGGACTGAGGGGTGATGACGGATACTGTAGGCCCGCGGTGATTGGGATGACCCTCCACTCACACAGTTGATCAAAGGCAAGTAAAACAATCAGCCAGCCATCAGCAACGATGTAATATTAAACTCCCCAAACACCTCATTTAATTAAGTCATTATGATCAAAATCTCCTTACCAGATCTTTTAAGTTATACACTCATAGGCCTTGCCCTAAGATAGCAGAAAAGAACTTCCGGAGGGAAAGCTGCTGTTAAAAATTATTAATAAAATAACGTCTCTTCCCTCTACCCCACAAATCAATCGCTTTCTGGAAGGATACACTTCTATGTGATTTCTCCAGGCAGAGCTCAGAAAGCTGGGTGCATCACGCCTAGCATCCTGTCCCTGATTAGCCTGCTGCAGACAGCAGTCGGGGCAGAACACAGCTGGTGAATATGATGTCAGCTTCTTTTGGGGCTGATTGCTATGAAGTCACAAACCCTACTTTTGTGAACCTGCTGCTGGCCAAACAAGCCCAATCCAAAGTGCGCTGAAGAAAATGTTTGGCCCCTTGCAGGTGCAGTCCCCGTGCCGGAGGGGAGGAGAAGTGAAGGGGAACTGGCTTTCCATGGGAATATGTCAATGTGGAGAGTGCCTGATTACTACAGAGTAGAGATTACTGAGCCAGATTCCAGACAAGAACAAAACGGGATGTGAAATGCAGATATCATGGAGTTGAAGCTTGAATTTTCTCTGTACTTAAAAGCATCTTCAGTGGATGTCTTAGCTCCCTTAAATACCCTTGTTTGGATGAGATGCAGCCTCCTCTGGAAGCTTTTCTCTCTGTTGGATCTGAGAAACTAGCTTAAACTAGCTGGATGAATGAGCAGATATGAGTTGCATCCTTTAGGTTTGTTGCAATTCTTATAAAGACATCAGACAGTGTAATGATGACAAATGGATAGACTTGTAATTCCTAGATGAAAAAGACATTGTTTGTTTTTTCTCTTTGCTTTCATCATTGGCTTAAGGCAACCTAATTTTGGTACTACATCTGAAAGTGGTGACTCAGCCCTACAACATGCATTCCCACCCCATCACCTGTGCAACTTGGAGATGGTGCAGTTGAGCAGTCTGACAAATCAGGGGACTCAGATGAGGGAACTTTTCCCTTTTTTTCCTGTTTTCTGTTGGGTGGAGCATTCAGCTGGATCAGCCTGATTGTGACCCTACAGCTAGCACAGGATAAGGGAAGGGAACTCATGGGCAGGGGCAGGAGAGCAATGCCACACATTTAGGCAAAAAAATTGACTTAGATTGGCTCAGGCCGTTCATGAAAACACACCTAACTCAGGTGTGATCTGGTAACCTAGTGGTGAGAGATTCTCCTTCTCACTGCTGGTTTCCTGAGTCATCTGAACAATGGTAATTGCCTTACTATTCTTCTCCCCTTCATTATAGAAAGACATAGCAATTAAGCAGAGTAAAGCTTGCCATGGGTTTTAAGCCAGCAGTGAGTTCATCAAGTACCTGAAATGAAACCTGTCAAGGTGTTGCTTGGCATTAAGCAGCCGACTTCAGCACTTCTAGAAACACAATTGCATTAGCCAGCACTGGGCAGGGAAGAAGGCTGCAGGGGAAGGAGAAAAGATCTTTACCCTGGACTGTTGAAGACAGAGGAGAATTGGAATTCCTGGAACAGACTGCAGCTAACTTTAAAGGAGTGATGTCCCAGGGCTGGTGTAAAGAAGACCTTCTGCACAGGCTAAGGGTGTGAGAATGTTCCTTCTCATACTGGAACATACCCTGGCAAATAGGTTGCATACAGTACAATTTGCTCACCCTGGAAGTAGAACCTTGAAGTCTGTAAAGACAGTAGGTGAGTAGGTGAAAATCCATGCAGGGGAGGGGATGGGAAGGGGAGGGGAA